CCCCCCCCCGGTTAGCTCACTTTTTAGTTCATGTGTTTGGGAGGCGTCCCTCCACCGCTCGCTTTTTTCGCCATTCCCAGGGGAGGGCTTTCTTCTTAAATTACTGGCATTTCGCTTTTACTCAACTCACTGTTCGTTGTTGGTCATAAGACCTTGCTTAAAGTCTGTTTAAAACGCTCAATCTCCGATGCTCGTCCCAGTCAGCGGCTCTAGTTCCATTTGGACGCATAGCAGCAGGACCGTTGGGGCAGGAGAGCGCCTCAATTCCCCAGTAACGCACTGGTGAACAGGCCACCCTCCAAAAGCCCCATGGCTAGGAGCCTTTCACATAGGCTCTGGGGTGGCGGCGAACAATCGCCCCCCCCCCACCGGTAGTGCGCAGATCGCACCCCCGGTAGGTCCGGGAGGTGCATCCGCCAGAGTGTCGCCATAAACCATATCCTACCTAAGTTTGTTTCTGAGGCACATTAAATTCACAAGAAACTAAAAAATCTGTTACCTTCATTTTGATGATCCCAACGGTTGGGTGGAAATAGAACAGTCGTTCCTAGGTTCAGATGTAATAGAAGATACAATTTGGAATAACCCAAAAGATAGACCTCATTCAGTAAGTCAAAATCCTTTTCTGGAAATCACACTTCATATCTGGGATGCAAAAAGAAAAGTATTAGCTCCTGACATTTCCCCAGGTTTGTCCTTCTTAGGACAGAGATGGTTCCTCCCAGGCAAATTTAAAAACATATGTTCTTCCTGGAGGAAAATGGACACTAGATTAAGTGATGTTACAACAAAGGGGTCTGCAAAGAGTAAGATCAAATTGGAACCTGTAAGTTGTATTAAACTCCCTTGGTTTGAGTATTTTCAATTAAGTCACCTGATCTGTAGTCCAGAAATGCAAGGTTATCTTAAGAGGGACCTTACAGATTTTGAGAAAATCCTATTAAAGGGGGGGGAGGCCTTAATCTCTGTCCTGTACAAACTGTTGAATCAACAAACTTGGTCCAAGAAATCTAATTAATTAAGATGGCAATGTCACTGTAAAATTGTTATGTCAGAAACTCAGTGGACCAAAATATGGTCCTCTAAAGTCCACCTTATGAATGCAGTTAACATATGAATGCAATTTCACAAATTTCTACATATATGGTATATAACCCCATTTAAGTTACACCATATTACTTTCACATATGATTCGCATTGTTGGAGAGGTTGTAAACAAATTGGATCTTGCTTACATTGCTGGTGGGAGTGTCCCTGAATCATCACTTATTGGTCAGGGATACTCAGCATGATAAAGAAAATTACAGGTTACGATATTCTGCCTCATCCCGAAGTTATATTACTCAGTCTTTGGGAGGGTGTTGACATACTTCTGATACATAACGATTTGATTTCACTTATGTTCGTTGCAGCTAATTCTATTATAGCTAGACATTGGAAAGATAAGAATCAACCCTTATTACAATACTGGGTCAACAAGTTATGGGAATATCTAGATATGGATAAAATATCTGACCCTTATTGGTAGAAAATCCAAACTATCAATCAGATTTCATAGAAAGATGGTTTCCTTTCCTTGATTTTGTAGAGAAGAATAACAAGTTGAAAAACTCAATTCCAGACGGTTTTAAAATAATAGCTATTTATTAAGTTGTTCCCCAACTATTGTTATATTGATTGCTTGCCTTCACATAGTAGTTCATTATATTAGTGTATTTATATTATAATTGTACTGTTTCTGTATTATTGTTTTCTTTTTGGAAACTTAATAAATAGTTTTTTTAAAAAAATTCACAAGAAACTCATAGAGTACGTTTATGGAGGGACAGCTACACCTAGGAGTCCAGCTGGGTAAGCCTTCCCTCACTTTTGAGGGCTGCTGAGAAGTGGATGTGCTCAGCACACAAAATAAAGAGAGAGGCCTAAACCAGGGAATTCTGGATATGTTCTTTTGAAGAAACTGTGGCCTAAAAGAACTATACTGTTTTCTTGTCCTATTGCATCTGATTTATTTTATTAGTGTTTTAAACCACCTTAAATGCTCTAACAAAGAGATTACACATTTTTTGTTGTTGTTGTTGTTCAGTCGCACAGTCGAGTCTGACTCTTCGCGACCCCATGGACCACATCACACCAGGCCCTCCTGCCTTCCGCCGTCCTCCGGAGTTGCTTAATTTCATGTTCATTGCATCAATAACACTGTCTAACCATCTCATCCTTTGCCGTCCCCTTCTTTTTTTATATATAACTTTATTTTTATTAATTTTTATAACTTTATATCAAACAACATTCAATACAATACAAAATCAACATATTTGGCAGGTAACTCTGTCATATCGTCTTTCACATTGTTCACATAATCAAAAAACACAAACCATTTTTCTACAAATCCTGTTGTTTTTTGAGGTTGCTCCATTTCCAAAATTTGCATTGCCATTTTATCCATTATTACAATGTCCCATAACTTTGTAAACCATTGTTTTACAGTTGGTATCCTATCTGTTTTCCAAACCTGGGCAATTAACGTTTTAGCCGCTATAAGCATTAAAGATATTAATTCTTCTTTCGTTTCTGAATAACAACCTTTATCCCAAAGATTTAACAATATAGTTTCCGGTGTTTTAGGTAAATAAATTCCCAATATAATATCTATTTTTGTAATTATTAAATTCCAAAAACTTTGTATTTTTGGACAGGCCCACCAACAGTGGTACAAAGATCCTGTTTGGTTACATCCCTTCTAACATTTAGGGTCTTTTTTTACCGTTGCATGAAACAACTTCAGAGGAGTTCTATACCATCGAGCAAAAAGTTTATAATTCTGCAACCGTATATTTAATGATTTTGTTGTATACAATTTAGATGACCAAATTCTAATCCATTGTTCCGGGGTAATAATTC